ACCAGTGGAACAACCTGCCTCCAGAAGCGGTGAATGCTCCAACACTGGAAGTTTTTAAGAAGAGACTGGACAGCCATTTGTCTGAAATGGTATAGGGTTTCCTGCCTGAGCAGGGGGTTGGACTAGATGACCTTCAAGGTTCCTTCCAACTTTACTATTATTATTATTATTATTATTATTATTATTATTATTATTATTAATATTTCCATGACTTGTTTTATTTAGGAAATGCTAATATGTTCTTTAGGATAATCCTCACTGAAATAAGCAGTGAATATTTTCTTTAACTCTTATGAATTTTACGAACAGAAAGACTTCCAATGAAAAAAGACCCTTTAACACAGGGACGTGAATTCAACAGTGTATTTTCCAAAGCCTTGTACAAACATAATTGGAACTTTTACTCATTTGCACTAATAAGGTTGCAAATATTTTGATTAAGGCATGTAAAGGATGTTTAAACCTACTAACTTTATCTTTGTATATGCAAAGTTGTTTTCTTTTGCCCTTTTTTCCACATGACCCACACCATTTATAAGATTAGTGTCAGTGGTGGGATTCAAATATGAGAACAACCGGTTCTCTGTGTGGATGCTGTTTCTGGAAGTCCATTCTGGGCCAGGGCAGCAAAAAATTAGCTACCGGTTCTTCTGAAGTGGTGCGAACCGGCTGAATCCCACCACTGGTTACTGTTCATCTAATTTTTCCTAGACATGTCCTTTCTATGGGTTCTAAATCTCTATCTCATCATATTTGTTGATATTTTAAAAAAGCAACCAAGATTCTGCTCGCTTCCTATTGGATAAAGCAGTGTTTCTTAATCTTGGCAACTTTAAGATGTATGAACTTCAATTTCCAAAAGAGTTGTTGTCAAGGTTGAAATCACTGTGGTAAAGTGTTTTATCCACACTTCCTCATCTTGAAATATACTTGAAGGACTGAGATGATGAACTTCATATCACCTGCAGACCTGGTTGTGCTGTTAGAGATAATCAGTGTGGTGGTGATGGCATGTGCTTGTAGGTGGGGTTTGTAGCCCTAGATTTCTGGAGATTATGGTGAGATGCCTCTGTGGGGCTGAGGTCAATTAAAAGAGGCTTCTTTGTGCAGCATCAACGCCACTTATTCATGCAGGCTACTTCATAAATATGATTCATTTAGGCACACCAGAATATCTTCACATTCATACAAATATATACAAATTTAATCCCATATAAACAGAACCTTTTTTTGTTTCCTAATTTTATTCTTTTTGTTTGCGAAAAGGCTAGCTGTGCTATGAAAGAATATATCAATAATGTTCTCAGATAAATTAATGACTCCATTCTGGTAAATGGAATGTGAAGATTATTTGATTTCAGCAATCTCTTATCTATGCATCCCTGGGTTTACTTCAGATGTGCTCCAGAAACAGAAGTTCTTTGGAGGAGATTTTGGGGTGCAGGAGTTATAGTGGAAATGGGAGAACACCCAAAATCCTCTTTCTCCCTATTTCACAAATAGATGACTTCTATTGTCATGGGAACTTTAGTATGATACCATTTAGTATTTACCACATAAGCAACAACCTGTGTGTTCATGCATACACACAGATACACACACATATATATTTAACTTAAAAGTATTACTGTGGTATATATGTGTGTGTGTGTGCCTAAATACCATAATTTTTAATATAATAAAAATGCATATTTCACTCCCAAATGTCTTCTTTTTGGAATGTCAATATAGTAATCCTACCACCAAGATTTCAGAGTCATATTATCCAAATAAGTTAATCTGATTAGTATATTGCTAAATAGAAGTTAGCAAGGGGGAAGAACTATAATATCTGAAATCGTTCCCAGTCTTGCTTAGGCTGGCTGTTATCTATTATTCTGAAGATACAAATGAATTCATATTCATTAGTTTTAGACATACAAGCTGTATTCAGAGGAATGCTGAAATAACTGCATTTAGTTAAGTTACAGAAGAAAATAGAAAACAAATATCGAAACACATGCAAGCAAAGCAACAGAGTGGAAATCTGCGACTATTTTAGATAGAAACATAGAAAACTGTTGATATTACAATGCCTTAATTAATCAGTCTGCTGATTTCATTGGATCCCTTATAACCAACTTTACAGTCCTTGTTATCATATGCAATTTTTTTCCAAGCAAAATATCCAAAGAAAGAACTCCTTTTAAATCTGTGCTCAGATTATTTTCCTTCATCTCATGTTATTCAGAAGAAAAAAATCTTTGTCTATGTTACTTTCTTGAATATTAAAAAAAAAATCTCTCACGAATTCAAATACTACTTGAGATTCACATACCCACAGACACACATAAAAGCCAGACATCCTTATTTTTGCTGCATTAAATGCAATGTAACTAGAAATATCCCCAAAGCAATTAAGCAAAAGGCAGGAAATCTATGTCTCCATCCAGTAAAAGATAATTACTTAGTAAGATAAGAACTGTTAATCTGTTATCCTTTAATGCAGGGGTAAGGAATTTTTTGGCAGCTTGGTATAATTTACTATTTTCAATGCCGGAAGCAACACAGAGTGAGAAAATTAATGACATTCTGTCATCATAAAAGTAAGTCAGATATTTTTTCATAGATATTTAATTATTGTATCTTTTTATATTCAAAATTTATTTAAGGGCATAGCACACTTTCTTATTTCATGTTCCCACTGGAAACAGAATTTTTTGCGGTATGTTTCATGGAAAAGGTCAATGAATAAGATGTTCAGGAACATTGTTTGATCTACAATTACTGGATTGCCCATGCTTAAATGAGGAGAAGGAGAAAAAGATACAATTACACTTAGATACCATTGTTGGCTCTAGAATTCAAGCTAGGATTCTTATGAGCCAGCAGTCTGCTGCAGCCCCCAGAAAGGCCAATACAGTCCTAGACTGCATCAACAGAGGGATAGTATCAAGATCCTGTGGAGTGTTAGTACCACTTTATACTGCACTGGTATAAGACCACACTTGGAATACCGTTTTGGGTGACAACAAAAGAAAAAATATGTTGAGACTCTAGAAAGAATGCAAAGAGCAACAAAGATAACCAACGTTGAATGGTTGGAGCAATTGGGAACATCTAGTCTAATAAGAAAAGGATTATGGGTGACATCATAGCAGTCTTTCAATCTTTGTGAGGTTGTCACAGAGAAGAGGGGGCTGAATCTATTCTCCAAACTCTGTTATTCTGTATTCTGTCAATAGCAGCCCTTTCAGATATGTTCAGCTTGAAGACAGAGCTATAATTTTAGAAGCTTTCTGGGGAGATTTGTGGCAATAATCAGAAATATGTCACTATGCCTGATGACAAACAAGTGATTATTAAATGTTAAAAGAGGGCAGAGATGCCAGATGACGTGCACCTCTTCATATCCGTTTAATCTTTCAGAGCTCTACATCAAAATTATTGTAGTACTTGAGCTTTTCTTTGCACATTGGAAAAGCAACATATAAACACTTTTAAAAGACAATTTTAAAATTAAGCCAGTACATTTATTGTGCAAGTGTGCATATGGGTCCTTTAACAGCAACCTTCCTTATTTCTATATTTTGGTTCAGATGCCTATATTTTCACACATGCACACACATGTGTGTATGTGTGTGTGCATATGTGTCTGTTGAATAGAATCTTGATGAGAAACACCTGCAGGAGATTCCCTTGATGTTTTGTTCCAGTGCTTGAAGGCTGTTGGAGTCTGGATTGGGTAAAACAAGCTGAAGCTGAATCCCAGAAAGAGTTGTTGTTTCTCTATCAAGGTACTCAGACAATTGCAGTGTTCTTGAAAGACTGGCACTGTCTCTGAAAAGTCCTTGATTTGAGGACTCCCCGATTCCCAGCTACTGCTTCATGGGCAGGCAATGGCTTTGTTAAGAGACGACACATGTGTGAAACATTATCGGCAGATTCAATAGTATGGTTTGCACCTGTTTTCTATTACACAGAACTGTCAAATATTTGCTAAAAAAAATGCCTTCAGTTTTACATGTTGGAAAGTCCCATGTAAAACTATTTAAGTAAGACAGCTGCTTAGATACTTGATAAATATTTTCAGCTGCTGCCAGCTGAAGAGAGCAGCTGGATCCTATGTATTTCTTTTCCTAAACATCTTAGCAAAGGAAAGGAAAACTGAACCACCAGTGTTTCTCACAGACAGTTCCAAAACTGGTAGATTATAACATATTTATCTAGTATATCCTTTCCGTACATTTGAAGAATGAAGGTGCAGCTCAACAATTGAATACAACCCAAAATGTCCGTACTTTGAAAACTTCCTAATTTGTCAGAAATTGCAAGAATTCCACATTTTTTTTTAATTTTGGGAGTAAAGCATTCTATTCAGTAGAAAAACATTGATTTTGTGCAATTTGGTTTCTCTCAGTCTTTTATATTTCCAATTCTATTTCAAATTCCGTTATCAGTTTCAGTGTGTTAAAATAAACGATACAAACAAAGAAGAAAAGCTACTAAGGCAAAATCATGGAAGGGGAGGATGGACTGGACTTTCTGCTCTGAATATTTCACTGTTTTATTTACTTTTATTTCAATATTTATGAACTGATTATGGATAAAATATCAATATAATAAAACTAAGTTTAAAAAATTAAGAAAATGTTTTAAAAATTAAGATAAAAACAAAATGTTTTTCAAAATGAGTCAAAAGAGTTTAAAAATTAATCCTAGAATATCAAAGACAAAAAAAAATCAATGTTATCTGTCTAAAACTGATGGAACAACATGTAAAAAAAAGAGTTTCAGAGGATGCTGCTACAGAAAAGTTTTAACTTCATAGCTGCAATCCTAGAGTCTCTGCATGGTAAGTCTGATAAAGACTCCAATTTGGGGGTAAGCTTGTAGATAGGAAGGTGATGTTTTAAGTTTGCCTCCATACCTGCAACAAGCATTGTCTATAGAAAAATACAAGTGTTTACAATTTTTCAAATGCATTTTTAAAAAGAGAACTGAACTATTTCCCACATTTAATTTAAAGTTCAACATACAAAAAGAATGTGAGAAATACCACATCAGATAGGTTGCAGCAGCTATCCCAGACATGGACCAGTTTATATTAGAGATGGAATTACCCATTCCTTAAGCCACACACTAATTTGAGTGATTGCTCTTCTTCAGTTTTTATACTGTGTAAGTTTTTGTTTTAGTCTGGTTCATCTGATAATATGCAGATCAGTTATAGACACAGGTTCATTTAGAAATATGAAAAAAATTATTTCATGTATTTAATAGTAGAATCAGGTCACATTTCAAGGGTATGATGTTTGAATAATACTGGGGGGGTGTTAATGCCCCATAATATGGGTAAGGCTGGAGAAAAATTAAATAGATCTGGACAAAACACTAATCTTGATTTAAATGTAATTAAAATTTGATCTCATTAATTAAATATGGTCAACATGTTGATTTAATGATTTAATAAGAAACATAAAAGTCAATTTCAACTACTTTTAATTATAAAGGAAGCACAAAAATGGTAACAGAGGTAATTTGAAAGAATAATAAAGCATGTTGAAAAGAAGACAGCAAAACTAAAGCACCTTTCACTGGAGAAGAAAAATTGAGAAACGGAAGGATGGTTTTTTGGCAAGGTATTAGTCTAAAGGCTTTTAAAATGGATGTTATCCAATTCTTAACAGGACAAAACAAACCTTTCTTAATGATAATAAACTACCGAATTAAATGATATACCACACTAACCTTTGATATATGCTGTAAAAATGGAGTTTTGCTATCAGTTCCAAAAATTTGGATTACTCTGGATAAAAACAATGCCATTTTCCATTGATGTTGAATGATATCAACTTCCATGATTCTGTATTAGGGAAAGCTGAGGACTTTATGGCCTCCATGGGAAGTACGGGTATGTCCCTGGCTGGTTATCTCTGGTATGTCTTACAGATTCTGTCTTCTTTTTTTGTTTAGCATTACACATATCTCTTTGCAAAGCATTGACCATTTTGGATGCTGCCATTATGCCCTCTCTCACCCACTCAGGAAAGGCATAGCTTAGGCCTCAGGTGGCAGAGAAAATGCCACCATCTTTATGGTCAAGATAGGAATGACTGACATTTGGGACATACTGTATGCAGGGCAAATGGCAGATTCAAATAGTCTATCCCAGGCACTTAGGAATTTTCCAAATTTTCTGGCATACAATTCTGTTGATTGCCTGATGACTATTAGCTAGGGAAGTGACAAAGTCACTCAAATTCATTAAAGTCTTGACTCTTCATGGGAGGAATCTATGGCTTGTTAATTTATTCAGGACCCCTTTAGCCATGTAATTTTTAAAGAAGTACTTACAATGTTCTTGAGCATTTTCTCTGTCACCTGTGGCCTAAGCTATACCTTTCCTGACTGGGTGAGAGAGAGGACATAATGGCAGCATCTAAGATGGTCAATGCCTTGCTTTGGAATTGGTATGGCCTGAAAGAGGCTACAAGCTTCGGTTGACTTTATTGAACCTGGCCATATTTGACAACTATCAAGCAACTTCCCTTTTGGTGGCTGGGGTGAGAGTATACATTATTCTGATATTGATTCAAAGCTTGCCAGAGGTGCTGTTTCTTCATCACAATTATCTAACAGTTCCAATACTGATTTTCAGGCAAGTAAGCATACTCCCAAGAGATCAGATATATGACATGGAGATCTTGCTTGCCTGGACTTCTGGTAAATATTATGGCAAACTGACATCTTTGGAAGAGAGAGGTGACATTGTGGCTGAAAACATCATCCAGATTCTGGATCCGGACCTCTGAAGTCTCTCTGATGAGAGATCTTGAGATTGCCCATGTGTACTGTGGACAATTGTTTTTCATGAACAAAGATGGGAATCAAATGGCTGAGAGTTCCTAGATTCCATCAAGAGTATAGCTGTAATATTGTCAGATCCAAATCCATCTGAGTGTAAGCCTTTATTTAGTTACACCTAATAGACAGAATCTTATCAAACTAAAGATGTAACTAACTTACTAGAAATATTCTCAGAGATTCTAGATTGTGGCTATCGTCAACCTCTTGGCCTGTTTGATGACTGGCAGTAGATATCAGTAATGGGTTATGGAGGTATTATAGGCTAGGCACCAGTTTCCAAAACATTTCTTGGTACAATTTATAATGCTGGTTGCTGGTTTTAATTTATAAAGTTCTAAATGGCTTGGCACCAAGTATAGTGTATTTGATTTGTATTTAATTTACTATGTACTGCTAAGGGTATTGTAATTATAAAGTATAACAATTAAATACTAAATAGATAATTGTGCATTGTTTGTAGAAGAAAGAAAAAACAGTGTTTGAACATATTGCCCTTTGGACTCTTTTACAAAATTCCATCCTTTTTAGCAGTTAGAATAAAGCATTTTTATAAGCAAACTAGATAAAACCTGTACTACATTTTAGGTGGCTGAAAGCTATGAATATCAGTTATAACTAAGTTAGATACTGTAATGAATCAGAGGCACTGCATGGGACCAGGAAATATTTGTGTCTTTTCTCTCCATTTGGCAAAGGCAAATATGGTACAGTTTTAAAATGTAAACATGATCTGGAAAATCTCATTAGGCATGCGTTAAAAAGCTATTTGGATAGCTTTTCTTTGTAATTGAAATGAGAAATGGTTATGCACACTGATTTCTGTATGCACATCAAAATTATCTCAAAAGTCACTGAACCACTTGATCAGCCTGAGCCATTTTACCTAGAGCTTGCTCTTTTAAAGAAGCCGGAGTAATAGCAGGAGTGATAAAAAGTTATTTAGATCAGCTAACAGAACTCACAGCAAAAGGGAAAAGATAATTCAACAGAAATTAAGTTTTATTCCCTAACAGAGAGCAACAGGAGAAACAAAAGCTGGAAAATAATGAGAAAAGAGTTTCTGTTTTTGTTTTGCTTTGTATAAAAGGGCTTTTCAATTATTGGGATTCAGAAAAAGTGAAGCAGATCTTGTGTTTGAAGTCTATTTCAGGATTACCGTTCTGGCAGAATCAAACTTGAAGTTAACTTCAAACATTGAACTATTCAACAAAAAAATGCAAAGGTTTTTTTTTTAAGACCAAGGAACTATATTAAACAGTTTATGCAAAAACAAAGCATCATTTGGTACATTTAAGAAGCCATAACAAAAGCCAAACTGGCAATTTTAAGATCTATTCCATTTTATATATTAAAATTCCACTTAAAGGAGCAAAAATCCATATGTTGCTATACTCTAAAAATGGTGATAATAAAAGATGAATCTTAGAATATATTGTTCAACATTCTGAATAGAGACAGTCTGGGAAATATGGCTATTCTTTTAGATGACGCGCATGGATAGGTGGAAGGAGATAAAAATACAGAAAGACTGAAACATGACGGAGAATTTTGATTTATGAATATTTGCTTAGAAAAAAAGCCCTGCTTGTTTTTGGTATGTGGCATAATTGCAAGTCTTTTCATTTATATATATGGAAAAATTAACTAGGATGAATTCTAGATTAGATTTTTACAATGAAAGACTGGAATCAGCATAGGGAGTATACTGTATGGGCAATGAGAAGTTCTGAATATAGCATAATGTACAATGTGTTTAGGAGAAAAGGGATATTTGTAAAGATTCTAGTCTTCAAGAGCAAAAAACTGTTAAAATAAAAAATGGCTGAGAAAATGGGAATAAAGACACTCATACAGGCAATAAAGACACTCATACAGCAAATATATCCATATTTTGAAAACTGCTGACTTACCTGCACCACCCCTGTACAGGAATCCAAAAAGATGCAGCCTTTGGGCTCTTTTGAGATCTTCTCATCTTTATAAAAGTTCATTATGTACGAGTGGTCTGATAATTGTGTCAGTTGAAAATAGCGCTTTTTGAACGACTGTGTGAAAATAAGAAACAGAATTGGCTATAACACACATTATTTCTGATAAGATGCTTAATTCATAGAAAATAGAAAATGAAACACCACTAATAATCATGAAGAACAATAATCTTTGATAGACAATGGAACTGGCCTCTTTACTGTCATTTACACTGAAACGGTACATATGCTTATTTCGAACTATCCATTGAATTCAGTACAGCTTATGCCCAGGCAAATGCTTACTGCTGACACATATTTTCATTGATTACATTTTGGAGCTAAGCAAACAAGTAAAAATACAAAGAAAAAAATGATGATGAGAATTATGTCAGAGGACAGATATTAAACAATGAAAAGGAGTTTGGTATTAGGGCTTCTTGTTTTTTTTGCCAATGGAAACTAACATTTCTCTCCTTTTACAATAGAAAATAGTAGTAATTTTCTTACCCGAACTGTAATACTATTATTTACTGTGCTATTAAAATTCCCCTTATAAAGCCAGCCAGATTTGAAAACTCCAGTTCCTCCTCCTCCTCCACCGCCTTTCGAAGATGAGTGAGATGTTGTATCCTGATTGAAAGACATTAATACCTCTTTGATTTTTTTTGTTTCCCACAAGACAAAAACTCAGAATATGCTGCTGAAATTTTTATAACTATGCACTTTCTAATAATGGTAACACCTCTCAGAACTGTTAGATATATAATTTTCTTTAGAAAATGTGTTTCCTTTAAAAAAAAAACCTGAAAATTTATTTATTTATTCAACAAATTTATATAGCTATCCATCTACCAGTGGTCAACAACAATAAAAACGTAGGGCAAAAATAAATTTTAAAAACCATATAGCTCTATCCTGAGTTTCATTAATATCCTGGCCCCAGTATTGGAGAAAAACTGATCTTTGTGGTAAGCCAACAAGTTTTGGGTGGTTTGATTTTCCAAGGGCAGCAGCTGTAACAAAGAAGCCACATCACATGACACTACTGGGGATCTGGACCTATTCTACTAGATCTAGAAGCATTTATGAATAATAAAGAGAAAGTGGACAGTCATATACTTACTTCATCCTTGTCAACATCTTCATGATCAATTTCAAAAGAATGTGAAGGAAGTTTCTCTGGTCGGTATTCATGCCTAAAGAAGAAAATGTTTTAGTGGTGCTGTTAATGTATGTGCCTGTATATTTTCATACAACATAAAAAACTATGGAGCGGTGGTGGTGCAGGGGTTAGAATGCAGTAACCAGGAGTTTGATTCCTTCGATTCTACTAGCTCAAAGTTGACTCAGCCTTCCATCCTTCTGAGGTTGGTAAAACGAGGACCCAGATGGTCGAGGGCAATATGCTGATTCTGTAAACCACTTAGAGAGTTCTGTAAAGTACTATGAAGTGGTATATAAACCTAAGCCATAGTGCTATTGCTGTATCACTGATTACTTACAAGAATTAAAAACATAGAATGAAACCCAACAAGCCACAGCATATAATAGTTTAATTTCATAGCACAACATAACAGCATAAAAATAGAACTGGTCTACATGAGAAATGCTGGATAATCCTTAAGTGGACCCTCTAGTTTTATCCTATATTGGATTGCTTGCACTGAGTGGGGCATGGATCACATATCTTAGTATTAGATATGTGCTTAGGGCATATAATAAAACATAAAACATACAGAAGGAGGACTCAAAATAAGTGAGAAAATTATTATCTGAATATATTTGAAGTACACCTCAGTTGTTTCTTTAGACATTAACAGAGGTGTTAAAAATAAATTCTTAATTATAATCCAGATGCATTTTATATTGCCTCTTAGTCCATACTCCGTTCTGTGTGGGCTGTTTCATGACTTTCAGTTACACTGAAAATGTAAGATACATTATAATAGTTATTTACAGAAAAAGGCAAATCTTTTAAACCTTTAATTCCCAAAGCAAAGCAGAACCCATCACATTAATCAGAAAACATCACACTACTTTTATGAGTGCAAATCCATTCTGCAACAGAAATGAACACTAATGTTTTCCTCCAAATGGCTAGATAGGTCTATGGCTAATTCACTGAAGATAACTGAGATGACATGACATTTTCTTCAGTTATGAAATGGGAGATCTCTATAAAATTGGGCCACCAAGTCCTGGAAAAACTATCACAGAAAAATAAATGGTTTAAAAGTTCATTATCCAAGAGACCATCTTTTGCATGCTGAACTTATCTAGCTGTTAAGATCTGCAGAAGACACCCATTTGAGGGTTCCCTCACTGTCAGATTTGTCTTTCTGACATTGGGGAGAGAGTCTTCGAAGCTACTTTCAGGCTACGGAATGCATTTAATTTGGGAATTGCATTGGTTCTCAACTTTCTTAGCCTTTAAAACATATATAATACTACATGCCATTAACTTTGATTGATTCTGTATTCATTTCACCCTGAGTTCTTGCTGGGGTAGAAAGATGTATCATAAATTGAATGAATAAATGATATTGCAATCTAGCCATTTTACAGTTACCTATCATAGAGATTCAGAGGAGAATCTACACAAGAATATGCCTTTGTCATCTAGGAAAATGTTGATGACTGTGGGAAAGGACTGTCTTAATAACAACCAGAGGTATTACTGAATACCAGTTAAGGTACTTGATTAAATATTTATCAAAACTATATTTCAAAGAACATGTATAATAATTCCCATTGAAATCATATACCTTTAGTTGATTATTACACAAGTTGGGCTAAGAATCATGAACAAAACAATTTGGGATCTCAATTATGCACTTTTATTTTAGTAAATGCAAATTAATGTGTAGTTTTAACACATTGCTTGTAAAGTGGAAAATGATTCATGCCTTTTTCCTTATGTTTTGAAAGCATGACAGTATGGATTATGATTGATTATTTTATACATTATTGAAGTGCTAATTCCTGATACCAAAAAGACCATCTCACTAGAATTTCTGAATTATATTAGAAACATTAGAAACACTGAGTTTTGTTTAGCCTTAATTATAAGCACCTTTAATGCTAAAAATAGAATGAAGAGTTGTTTCTTCCTTTTAAAAATGCAGTTTGTTAAAAAAAAATACCCTCAGGAGTCAGCTATTAGTGGAAGTCCTATGCTGGTTGCTAAACACATGACTGAGGCATAGAATGCAAAGTGAACTAAATACTTCTTAGATTTTACTTCTCAGTTTACAGGATAAAACACCATGCATGAATTGGGCCTTTAAAATCTATGCCAGACTTTTTGTCTCCAAATGAGCCACATCATTTGCTCGCTTCCTCATAAATGTATTTTTAGAAAAGTAGAAGCTTCCTATCTATTAAAATATGCTTCTAAGCATAGTTGAGTGCTCCAAATCTATATTTCTCTCAATGTATTGGCTAATACAACTTGCCTACAGATATGGAAACAATTGAATCATCCAAGTGCAGTGTTTCAAATTTCAGTTATACCACCACCATAATACAACTGCTCACTTCTACTTCATATTATTCTTGTTCAAAATGCAAGACAAGGTGTGATTAATATTTTAAAAATGGGAAGTATTTAATTCTTTCAAGTCTATGCTGGTCCTAGGCCTATATTTTCTGCTATGTGAAAAACAGTTTGCTTTAAAGGATAGCCTTCACCTTCTAGATGAAGGTTTTGTTTTAATAAGAATCTTTATAAAGCTGTGGGTTGCTGGAGGATAATAGAATTCAAAATATCCTCTTCTACACAATAGTTTATATAGCACTTTGGATGTGTTTGGGTGTTTGGGACAGGAAACAAGAAACACCTATCTAAAACTCTTAAAAGCACCAATATTTGTAACTCAAGCACCAATATTTGTAACTCAGATTTTGGGGTCTGTGGTACTCTCTGAAATTTAAAGAACTCTTTAAGGCAGCTGCTATATGATTCTATTTCATTCCAGCACAATTAGACATTTATTAGAAGAGTCAAACATGATAACTATAACATGAAATGTTTGCATAATGTATCCTTAGATAATTTATTGGAGACCAGAGGCAGTTGTTCTGTGTGATCAAGACAATTATGTTTAAATTTAATATTTCAAAAGAAAAAAAAAGAAATCATAGTGTCTTACTGTGGTAGATGTTTAAAGTCTTCTGAATACTGTTCATATTTGTAGACTACAATATGCCATTGGGAACTGTAATATTTACATGCCTAAAACAATAAAGAAGAAAATATTAGATTAAGAAGGAAAATCAATTAGGTTTGGTTGGAATGTATGTATTGTTTGTAAGTACGTTACAAATGTACATTTAATCTTAATATGGATCTGTTGCCAGTATAAGCATTTTGTAGGTAACTTTCTCTAGCAGAAGTGTTTTGATATGCAATTTATTGACCTAAGAACTGAATGGCAACATTAGGGAAAATAAAAACAATTCAAAAAGGTAATTGTGTTTCAATCCTGGGAAGCACATATGAGATTAGGTCACTGAAAAACACAGTTTAAAGAGGTTTTCCAGATAAAATTTTGATAAAACAAGCATAGAATAATTAATGGTTGCAATACATAATACAGTTTTATTTTATGAAAAAAAACTTCTAAGCTTTTTCTTATATTTTCAAAAGCATATTGTATTTCTTCACCTAATACTACATATTATTTTTGAAAATAATATTTACATTCCACTGAAAGCAATGATAAAACACCAGTTTTTATTATAATATGTACTGTGCCTATAATGCAATCAGTTGTAATTTAACTGTCATATTTTTTCCCACATAAAAATTACTCAATTCTACATCACCCCAGAGGTTTTTTTGCTCCAGAGTATGAATTGGTTTTTGAGCCTCTTAAAATTTCTTGTTGGTGTTTTGAAACATCAATCAAACATAAATCTGTAGCTCACTGCAAATCCCAAAAGCAGGCTTACTAATGATCAGGAAAGCTGGAGCTTCTGTCACACATTTTGTATCTAAATGCTATGGAGAACATAGTATATTGATAATGACAACCAGGTCATTTGTCAACTTTCATTTAAAGAAATTTTTATGTTTTCAATTGCAAGCTATGTAAAAGATATTACAGTACTTAAATAATTAGATGACAAAGAGACCAAATTTTGTGATATGCTAAGTGTGTACACTGTTATCTAATCATACATGTGGCTGGATCAAGTACAAACTGACTTAAGTTCTAATTTGATCAGAAGGACAGAAGCTTTAAATAGCTTTAGATAAGTTGCAGTTCTTGGCTTTGGCTGCCCATCTAAAAGTAAGAACTAAAAAAATAAATAAAAGTAGTCAGTGCCTAACGAGAGTAAGAAATTCCAATATTAGCTTGCTGCTATTTCTTTTCTTTCTTAGAAATGCAATGTGAATTGCATATGAAAAAGTTTAATAAAATGCAGCAGGACCAATCCTTACAATGCTGATTGGTGGAACAAGAACACTTTTCTCTCAGTTTAGCAAAAGTTTGGGTTACATAGTATATGTACATTTGATTATCAGTAACATGTACTACTATATGAGCCTGTGAGAAAGCTCATTCAGTGAGTTGGATCTAGAATAGAACAGAACCCACATTTTATTCATTCTCTAGTAGGCGACAGACAAAAAGCACATTATTAAAGAAACAGGCAATTTTCTCCCTCTCCCTCTTTTGCTGATATTTCTGTTGCTAGTCTTATATGTGAGACAATGGCACAGTTATGCAAAAGTAGGGAATCAACATAGATTTAATTCTCAATTATATCCTTGCCTGCTTGAGTGTTTGTAAACAGATTCAAAATTGGCATGTACAAATATCAGTTCTTACACACTAGTAGAAGGAATTGCATTCATAGACTTTTTACAGCTTGTATAGGCAAAATAAAAAGAACATTCAAACAACATTAACTGCCTTGATTAAACTTAAAAAAAAGTATGACGAATTTCATAGAGCTTGGATTGTTCTGCCCTAGATGTGCACAAAATGTCTCAGGAAAACTGTTCTTGCCAGTTAATTAGGAACTAGAGAGTGCTACAAATCCTAGAAATAGAAATAAACAAATTGCTTATCCCACTTTGCACTTATCAACATTTATAAAATATAATAAGTGTAAAGTTGATGCGAGTCATTATCCTAGACTTAGCTGGAAAAGGCCCCTGGTTATGTTCTGAAATTGTCTTTGATATTTTTATGGCATATATCAACCAGGAGATACTGGAAGAAGAGGACATCATCCTACAGATAAATACGGGAAGTACAATTCTGAACTGAAAATAAAACTAATTATCTTTTTCATATAAAAAACAGCTGTGTTCCTCCGCAGCTATGTAAGATTTAGGTCTCTCTAGACAAAATTGGGTTACTCTAGGCATCAAATAAGTCCCAAGATATCAGGTTAGATATACAAAAAGAAAAGCATGTTACAATGGCATATTTGGCTCTATTAGTAGCATGTGACCACATGTAACCAAAATAAGTGTGATATTATTTCAATTATTTTGCCTTACTTTGCCTAGAGGTCCATATGTCATTTTATTTTCAAATATTTTCCTGCAACATAGTCACAGAACAGTAGCATGAAAACCTCTCAGATACCTTCCCACCCACCCATCCATTGTGAAAAATCTCAGGTACCAAACTTCAAGCCCACGTGAAAGAAAGACCAGGCAGCAGACTAGGAGGAACGAGGTCACACAATGGGGCTATCAGATCTAGACTGCAAAGAACCAAATGAAGACATCTTGGCAACAAAGAATGAGAAATTTCTAAACAATATATCTTATCTGCCATCTAGTGTTGTCTGTTCTTGGGGTTTTTTTTCAGATCAATTAATCCTATCACATGGCTAGTTCTAGTTCTCTAACAAAAGCAGCTCTATGCTTCACTGATATCTCTGTCAGCTCCTTAGTCGCTGGGATGTGTATTTTCTTGCCCTGACAAGAGAAGATTGGTGGGGACCCTATGGTTGATAGATGATTGATTTGGAGGTAGAAACTAAGAAGCAGCAGCTCCTTCTTTACTTTCTCCTTCCTTTTGCTCTTCTTGTATACTACACTCCTACTTGGGTTTATGCAACCAGTTTTTCAGGGGCAAAGGATGAGGCAAGGAAAGATCATTGCATGTTCTTGAGAAAAAGTGTAATAAATTCATTATATACAAACAGAAAACAAATTCTACAGCAGAGAACCGTAAATATTATTTTCATGGAAATCATTTCAATGTGTTTAATTGACGAATTAAACAAATGCAGTTGATGAGAAATGGAGATTTTGATATAAAGCTAATTAAGCAGCCAAGTTCCAACTCAAATTCCAGAGTTAAAGATGGAAACAAACATTTAAACACTTTATATTCAAGACTCAAAGAGAAGAAAATTTCGTTTAAATTGATTCAGTTTTAGACATTCAATTTAATAAAAGATTCAACCATTGGCTGTTGTGGGGAAACATCAGAAAACCTGTTGCTTCTTCATCTTTGGCAAATTTGATGGAAATAATGAGAATGAATAATGAACTGTAAATAGCACTAACTCTTTCAACTGGTTAACCTACAAGGATTAGAATTCATTACAATAACATTTCAAGTATGTCCCCCATAACTCAATTAAGTCAGAAAGAGAAGGGATGAGGGATTGGCAGCACAACATCCTCCAAACTGCCCATCATCACAGAGATATTGTGATGAACCAAGGCAGAAAGTGTACTTCTCTACCTTAAAAATAATATATTTTAAAATCAATTTAAAAGTAAGCTCTCACTAAATATCACAGAGTTTACTACTCTCTGACTTCTAGCTTTTCTAAGGGTTCACTAACAAGATTAGTCTTTTTGATTAGGAAACAACATATGCTGTTTGTGCAATGCCATTTAATTTAAATATTTTATTTTAATTTAATTGCAGTTTTAATTTGCATGGCTTGCATAATCAGGATATTTTAGAGCATTTCTTCTGTTTTTTTGCTTAGGTATCTCCTTACTTTTTGGAATCTGAGAGAGAGGACTACAGCCTCAATACCAAATATACAAGATCTTACTCATTCTTTTCTTTCTGAGATTGCAAGGCCCTACTTAGTGCAGAATGTTTGACAACAAATATTTAGACTATTTCTGTTATAAATGGGAGAGGGATTTTGTTTCAGAAATAGAAGGAGGAAAATCAAAGTAGACAGAATAAAATAAAATAAGGAAATATAGCTTACCTAGGAAATGCCACATGACACACATACTGTACAGTAGCTTAAGATATATGGAATAAGATACTGTATGTGAAATAATTAAAATAATGGAATATTTTAATATTAGAAGAACATAATAGAAACAGCGATGGAACTCAGAATATCCTCATTTTGAATCTTGGCAATTATGCCCATCATATAAAACGGAAGAAAATCCTAGTACAACTAATATTTTGTGCTGAGGCATCGCTTTGTGCTGGCTAAATAGATACACACTTGGAGATGATACATGGAATGTGTGCCTTACAGTTTAAGAAGAAAATTTAAATACTATATCCTGGCATAATTCCATTAACCAAATTCCCACTGAAATCATAATTCCTTTTTCCAGCATTTGCCATTGCATCATGACTCTCACACCTCTTTTGGCTCCATGGGAAGGTTCAGCTGAGCTGTAACCTTGCCAGTTTGCAACATTTTCCAGATTAAAAAAAAATGTGTCGAGTTCTACTCTGAAATGAATCTCTATTCCAAGAAAGACTATGAAGCCAGAACTGGCCTTGTTATTATGCTGAGCATCAGTTTTTGAAGTTTTCAAGGTCCTGCTCATTTCTCTGAAGATCACAGCTAGAAATAGGATACTTTGTCAAAGGCAGCCCTTGCTAAGTCAGGAATTCAGCTAAACCAGGAAAACAACTTCCACAAATGTACAAAAGTCATGATGTGTGAAGCTCTTTCTACTGAAGTCTTATTTGGGGGTCTTAATTACAGAATTCTGTTCATAGGAAGACTCCTCAAAAGAATTAAGTCAGATCACTGTTTTAAGATATGCACATTCTAAAAAGGCTCTTTGCTTCAAAAAGAGAAAAAGTAGGAGGCAATCTATTGCCCATAATGCCTGGCCTGTGAATAATACATGAATGGTAATAGTCTAGCTCAGAGTTCTCCATAGTGGTCACAATTGATCCTTCCCCCCGGGTCAATGTATTAACTATGATTGTTGTTAGTATTATTCATATTGCATATAGATTGTCAAGCGCCCACATTTTGATCGTGTGACCATGAGAATGCTGCAATAGTCATGAGGGCAATGACCAGATGTAAGCCACTTTTTTTGAGTGCTGCTGGAAAACATTTTTTTAATTCTATAAAATGCTCTACCTGTTGATTTGGAAAAGTAAAATACTCTCACTGATGGCCATTCTTTATTTTCACTTGAGTTAAAATCATGAATTTAACTCTTAGCTTTATGAATAATCTTTGATTAATTTAAATTGATCTTATCATCCAAACATAAATATGATTGTCCTTTGTTAGTGCACACTTACAAAGAACACCTGCTCTGTTCCTGGGAGACTATATTTATACTGTTATCAAAATAAGTTCTTGAAGATAGGAAGTGCTCAACAAAATCTGCTCCACAATCTTAAAGATAGAATTATTATATATATAACCAAACATAAAAGACAGCATTATGGAAGCTTGAATTGAGAGTCTACATATCAAGGATGCATATTAATTTTCTAAGAATGCTCAATCTACTGTCTGTTGTTTATTTCTTAATTTATTTATTACTCTATAAGAATTAGCAGTATTAAAAAAAATTGATGGTTGTAAGGGTGATTATCATAATCTGCAAAACATACCCAGCCCCAATAATCAGAACTAGAATAAGACAATGATTCAGAATTTGGGCTTCTTTTAATTTGTCTTGTAGTTTTCAAGTTCCTTTTCCCATGCAGTATAGGACGGAAACTAAAAAAAATGCATAAGCTTGCAAAGATTCAAACATTTTAATTAAAAACAGCTGAAGTGAAAACTTTGTTTACTAAACAGTCAAATGCATATGTTTTAAATTAATGCAGCTTTTACATAATCTTCATTACAGGGCTGAAAAATTAACAAATAAAAATAACTATTTTAATCCTTCTGGCTTCTTCTCAGATAATACTTCCCAGTGATGACAATGTCAATCCATACTGTATGAATTTATTAAACTTATGCACTACTTTTTATAACAAATCATGTAGTGATTTGTAGATTAAAAACAAAACATTATTTAAAAAAATAAAGTACAAAAATGAGTGTACTTCTAATGACTTCCTGGTCACATACATATATTTCTAGACAATAACTTAAACTTACAACTCTGAGAATTCATTTTTCCCCAATAATTTTATTAATTTTACACACAGAGACAGATAGATATGTACTGTATATCTGTAGGGGATGAGCTGTTAAGAAATATGAAATATAAATAATAAAATATAATATATATTAGTGCAGAGAAAACACCCCATAAATTAGAAGAAACTTTCCCCTTTATATCTAGCAACATCAGCATTTTATTGTTGTCTCTTAAAATACATCTAAATACTTCTTCATTCTAGATGTCATATTTTTTTAATAAACCCATATCTAAATCTGCAATTCTCCCTATTAATCAGCAAAAGCCCAGTTAAAGTTAAGAGATATAAGAACCTAAATATTTATATCTCCATTTCCATTTAAGCAAATTCTTTCAGCCCCAAAAACCAAGAAAAACATGTGATGATTCTTCCAAACTCTTTATTGTTCTATACCTACAGACAGAATCTTGCCAAACTAAAGAACCCTGCTATCTTCATAAGCCTATATTCAGAGAACTATTAGGAAGGGCCTGTCTTAACCCTCTTTCTGTCAGACAAACTATTTGAACTGAGTTGTCCCTTATTCCTCTGGAATGCACCTTCTCCCTCCTGTGAATCCACATCAGTACAGTCCACCACAAATTCCTCCTAATCCCTTTCTTCAAATAATTAAAGTCCAATCCCAATTAAGAATTAAATATTGTGGGGAAACATCTTAGAAATTGATTCATTATACCTAATTAAATATTTCAAAAAATAATTATCATCATCTGAGATAATTTTTTATTCAAAGACAAACCAAAAACTAAAGACACAAGCAAGTCTGATTTTGCCTATATTTCTGAGATCAATCAAGAACAGCAAGGTCCTGACACAAATATACATCTAGGAAGAACTACAGAACAATTGCCAAGTAACAGATACAACATAGTGTTAATATCTGCAAGCTGAAAAGCAATACCCAGAAAAGAAAAAAAATGGTCATGGTGTTGAAAGTTGCAGCACAGCATTATTTTTTAAAAAAATATCTCATGAAAAAAATTGTATATGCAAGGTTAAGTAGAGCAAAGAATGATAACTTTACCTCTTTAACAAATAAATATTCTGCCTTTTGTTCTGCCTCTTCAGGAACTGATGAGTACAGTGTTTTTATTTCCCAGGGAATTGTGGCTATCTAATGGGAAATCAACAAAGAGAGAATAAAAGTTCACATCTGAGCACATAAAAGAATGATAAATAACATAGGTAGTCAAATAGGGTAATTAAGGGCTGAGTACATCTTAATGATTACAGCATCATTAGATAGCTTACATAGGAATTTGCATGCAAAGTATATTTTCAATCATCACAGATCAATCATGCATCAATTTTCATCTCATTTTCATGAATATTCTATGGGCAGAAAGGTAGGATCTATATTGGAATAATACATAAGAGATAATTCTGTATTTGGTTTTTTTTGGGGTGAGGGGGAGATATTATTTGAACCCATGAATGAGTTTTGCAACACTCACAACGTGCCTTTTCCTGATAGAGAAAAACGTGGAAAAATGTACCTGAAAGACAGAATATTGTGCATCCAGCTTTCGGAAGTGTGCTACCTCAAATAAATCCTGAGTAGTCAAGGAATAAGAATAACTGTAATGCATGGATACCTGTGCGAACAAACCCTAATTTCATGGGCAGAGATTTTTTTCCACTGATAGAAAAGCCTTTTTAAAAATAGTATAGGAAAATCTGACCTTTTTCTAATTTATATTACCTTAATGAAATATATAGTATCCACGTTACTACAGTAAATTCCTTTAAACTGAAAAATGGCAAGATATAAATATTTTAAAAATATTAATATTTGAGAGACTTTTTAAGAAAATTTCAGTATTATCAGTTGTATATAAGAGGGTTTTGGTAATATTGATTCCTTTTTATTCCTGCTCATAAACCTACTTGAACATCCAGGACTGTTATTATGCTTCTGAAAAGATACCTTTCAGAGATTATCAAAAGCAGCACAACCAGGCTGTATTTTTGCTTCAGTTTTCATCAGGATAAATTGGATGGGTTAATAGCCTTCCAACCTCAAATTAGCTTAGCTGGAAAATGAAGCTTTCTTTTTAACTGTCAATGCAAGGGTTGTTTTGCCAGTTTAACATAAATTTCATAGAAAACTAAATTCAATAACCCTGGAAGCAACTGCTGTTTTTTTTTACTTCCTGCTGAAGTTGAATCTGTAATAGAATTACTATAAATACATTTCTTTACACATATATTTCAAGTTGTGATACAGAAGCACTTACTATTTATTCGTAACAGTAAAATATTGTTAACAGCAAAATGGATACAATTAAGAGGCAGAACTGCAAACCAGTTTCATAATGACAAACCATTTACATAATTCTATAAAACTGAGATTTATATACCTATGTTAACGTGTAAATATCTCGTCTCTTCTACTCATACAATTTGAAAGAGATTATTATAATCTTCAGGAAAGCAAGATGGATATTCTATTTATTTTAAACGTTTGGATCTGCCAGGAAAAATGCTACCTTTGATTGAAAAATTTGGGGAGGAAATTGGAAAACCTTTAGAATTTCAGAGTGTTGTGTAATCTATTATAATATAGTGAATTACACAGTTTGCTCTCTGTCCTATGTGTTCCCTCTTGTTCTTTTTCTTACATAATTATTCTTATCAATGCCAATGCCAAAATGAATATTGGCAATAGGGAAAAGTGTTAACCACAAGTGTTAGAGAAGCCAGCTGCAAACAATTTGTCAAGCTTGCAGCATTATAGTGAAAAAAAATCAACAGAGGCTAAGGTCTAATTTTTAATAAAAATATTAGATATGCCAATTATTCAGTCCTTGCTTAAATAACTCATAATCCACAAAAGTACATGAAAACAAATGCTATTTTTCAAATATCAAGAGATTCCAATATTCTGATTTATGCAATATTACTCGAAATGTGCAAATATTAAGTGCAAATCTCAAATGTTGCAAAAAAATTAAAATATGAAAATTTCTGTGAAGCTTCTCTTAAACAAGCTTTCCTTCTGAGAATTTAGCAGAAGTATTCTCAACATAAAGAACTGTTTCCTGTTTATAAAATAATGTTATTTTAAGCTACTTTGGAGAGGACACCTGAAATGAGTTGGTGCAAGAATTTTATTTATTTATTTTTATGAGATATATACGTTGTCAAATCCAAACAGATGCATGGTCACTTAAAGAATCATAAGTTAAAGATATACAAAATAATATTTAACATAATTACCACAATAAAAACTAAAATATAAAATAACTGAAAATCCATAATGGTATTCCATAACATCTACAAAAAGTACCATAATATTAAAACAACCAATAACCAATAAATATTAAATATGCTTTAATATTTAAACTAATATTTTAATCCCTTTGTATTGTTTTGATCAGGACTAATCTGATATCTAACAGGACACTATTCCATAATGGAGCTATGACTGAAAAACATAGTCTCCTATCTTCTCTGCCCTTTACTTCAGAACAATGTGTAATTGTTATGAGCTTTTCTTGTAATAAACACAATGCAGTCAAAATGAGATGTCAATAGCACATTTTTTAAAAAAATAATCTCTAGCTGTTGTATTATGAACAGAGAGATCTGCATATATCCTGTATCAGTGTACATTTCATACATTTAGAAAGAATACTTGGTTTATGAATGAAATTTTATCATTCATAATCTCCACTGGAATAAAAGAGAGGTGAAGCATGTTATAGAACGTTAAAGCATCTATGAACCATTATTACCCATTAATTTTAGGGGTTATTATCTTTGTGAGAAATAAGCCTAATAAGCCTAGTATAATCAAGAAATGGTGTCCCTAAATTACCAAGGGAAAGAATGTGATGTCTTTCACTAGCTTGGTTTCCCGTCTAGAGACCCAAGGAGATAGCCTTGGCGACATGAGGCAGAGACAAGGGTTTCAACACTATGCTTTAAGACCAGGAAACAGAATGAAGCATGAGAAATAAGACTGACTTCTCTTTAATTCATTAGAGTATAGGGTAGTGGTGTCCAACCTGCTGGCTGGGGGATTCTTCCACAAATCTTAAAGTTGCCAAGGTTGGATACCCCTGGTATAGAGGGAGGGAGGGGAAAATTTGGTCAGGCTTTCTAGAATATGTTACTATAGCCTATGGCAATACAGTGGATCCCAGCCAAACTTTTAAAATCTGTTTCATGATTTGACCTACCCTGATGGATTAACATCAACCTTGAAAGCTTCTTAGTTTACTAAGTTTCATGCCTACCTCAGTAATCTTGAATCTAAAGGTCAAAAGTAAAGGGCAAGAAACTATTGTGTTTTATTTGACCAAAAAGAGGCCAATCCTATTTTTACATCAAGCCGGGTGTCTTGAATTTTAAAAAAATAAAACCAAGCTGATCACAATACTGTCTCATATGGTGCAAGGCATAAAAATTGGAACATCTTGATAAAGTTATAGATGCCATTTAGCTCTATTAGTAAACACCAATCACTCACTGAAAAGTCATCTTCAGGGAACAAAAAGAGGTCTTTCAGATGATCATTTTCAACATTCTTCTCAATATCTGCAATTACTGTTTCATAATCCAAAGGTTCCAGAAGTTTGGGTCTCTCCTGCTGAGGCAATAAAGCACACAAAAAAAGAATCAACTTCTATTATTCCTTTGTATTACTTTCTGGAGATGGGGCTCCATTTCCATTATCCCTTCATGCAATAGTTGCTATGTACAGGTTGGTATGGTGAAGCTGAAAATATAACCAGATGGATTTGGCTGCTAAAAATGTTCATTATCAGTCTGATTGTTTCCTGATGGGGGGACCTGGTAAGTAATATGCAGGTAATACAAATCATACTACATTGCTGCATTAACCTACTCTTTATGCTGAGAAACATATCCACATTTCTTTTAACGGTACTAAATAACTATTTGCAATTATCTTCTAAATGAATTTGGTGCCAAATGGTGTGCTTTAATTTCAGTTGTTTCCATGAGCTATGTGCTGATTCATCCCCATTACTCTCTTATGCTTAGCCACATTTTAAATTCAAGTCGTTTGCTAGAAACAAAAGTACCATTGCTCTGTTTAACTTGGCATTCATCCTTGTCTCTGTCAGGATAAACTATTTGGCAGTCAACCCCATACTTTCCCCAGTAAAGAGCTGGATTATACCTTTTTCAGGCATCAGGAAAATACTATTATTGCTGAAAGGCATTATGAACACTTTAAAAGCATTTAGAAGAAATAGCCAAAGAAAAGGTAAAATTGCACATTCTTTGATACGCTACATGAAAAGGGAGATTGTCTTGCTCACTGACTATGTATATCTTCAGGAAGACAAAAGGAATTTTGATATTAACTTGGGTGTAGAAAAAGAAACAAAGGCCAAAGCTGAATGTAGATGTGTAGAATGGAAATACCAATGCCTTCCTGCAAGGTGAAAAGAAGGATATAAATTATTCACCTTTATGAATTATTATTAGATAACAAGAATGTATAAACAAAGTTTTTTCTAAATATTTTTTTCAGAGAGCTAGAAAATACAGTATAGAGATAGAGAAAGAGATAGAAAGAAAGAGAGAGACAAAGAGAGAAAGAAAAAGAGAGAAAGAAAAAGCAAGAAAGAGAGAAAAAAGAAAGATCTATCTGCAAACAAATATACAAATATATCACACCCAGTCACTGCCACAATATCTTCTTGAAATCTCTTTTTCTCAAATTTCTACAGGCCTTTATTGAAAAGGTAGTGTTTGATTATCTGTTCAACATCAGTGCCTGGCCCTGGGATGGAATGTCTGGCAGGCAGGAAAACAAGACTGCTGCAAGAAACTTCTTAGTCCAGGAGAAGAGGAAAATAAGAAAAAGAGACCCGGGTAACTCTGCTTTAATTATGCTAGGCACAAACTAATCTGGAAAGTTGTTTTATCAGGATTTCAAATGCAATTACTCTATTAACAATAAATATCTTTCCAGAAATGCAAGTAGCTCTTGTTTCCTGAGTGGACCAGACCCAATGTTATTCACCATGATGTCGCAAGGTTTGGAATATTTCCTCTTAGACAAGAGGAAATATAATGTAGTCGGCGACAAAACATATTAAATAAATCAGGTTTTGAAACTTCATTTGAATAATATGTGTTATTGCTACACATCTGAACAACAATAAACACATTTAATTACTTTTAAGTAGTAAAGGGAAATGAAAGTATTTTATTTTTAAATCAAAGTAAATCAAATTATTAAACTTCTTCCACTTCTTGAATTGCTTTGATACAACAAAGTGAGAAAGAACATTGTTCCTTAAAAGGTAAATTATATACACCCACACCAGTTTGATCATCCAGGCTTCATATGGAGCTTCAGAAACATATTCTGTAATTTAAAAAAAACATAGATTTCTTTCTTAAATTATCATGTTTGTATTTTATGAGGGAAAAAAGGGATATCTGAGTTGTTTCCTGCTGTCCTAGTCACAGTATTCTAATTACTAAGAGTTTATCATTCTTAACATTCAAGGTTCAGTACTATTTCTTTGCATGAGCAATGGTTTCAGATCTGACAACCCCAGCCTTGAAATGAATTTCATTTTATATTTGTAGAGGGACTTTCCTCAAATATATGGTTAGAATTTTTTTGTTATTATTTTTAGTGGCGAGTTTCATTTTTACTTCAAGAGATTTCTCAAAAAATCTGACAGAAATGTGACAAAGATTGAGTTAGTCCATTCTCCCTTACAAGGCTTGCTGGGAGATTTATAACATTTTAGGATAAATAGTCATAGAATTATCTTTCCCAAATGTAATTATTCTGGAAATGAATCTACTAAGCAATCTATGCAGCAGGACTCAATAGTGGAGGACTGGGTTATTCTAATTTTTTAAAAAAGATGTATGCTATTTTTTAAAAGCCTAATAAATTATGTTAGCTAGGTACAAATAAAGATGAGATTATAAAAAAGAGATACTTAATATTTCTTCTCTTAACTTCCTTTTTTTCAGACCATTTATTTTTTCATGAGAGTACAAGATGGGAAATTTCTAATTCATTTTCATTAGACAGGCTGTACATAACATACACCAGGCCAGAATTAGTGCTAGAGCTGGAAATACTTAGAAGTTACAGCTATAGAATATCTAAAAAAATGTTTAAATCCTGTATCTGGTAATAACATTCAGTGATGTACCATGTCTCATAACTCAACAACAAAATATGGCATGTAATTTTTGTTACTTGAGTGACATCATGACGCAAAATGTCATCAGTTTTCAATTTTCAGTCCTTGGGTGTTTGTTTGTATCCCATTTTTATTATTTTTACAAATAACTCAAGGCAGCGAACACCCCTAAATACTCCTTCCTTCTCTTATTTTCCCCATAACAACAACCTTGTATGGTGGTTGGCCAGAGGGACAGTGACTGGCCCAAAGTCATCCAGCTGGCTAAGGTAGGATTTTAACTCACAGTCTCCCAGTTTCTAGCCTAGTGCCTTAACCACTGCCAGTGTGTAGCATGTTGATTAGCAAATAACATCACCTCCTAAAATCTTGTTTCTTTTGGTAGTAACCTTGTTTCTTCCAGCAATGACTAAAAATACCCTCATAATTGATTTCACAGAACAGACACAGAGCCTGAGGTTTCGGTATCTGACTGCAGTCAAGAGAAGAACAGCAGAGTTCAGCATCTAAAGCACTGTCAGATGTTAAGTTGGTAACAGTTCTTGATGGCTTCAACACACAATGCTGAAGCATGCAAACTAGATCTTTTTTCTCTCTCACTTATCACACTCTTATTCTATACTTTGGTGTTGAGCTCAGAAAGGTTTTTGAAACTACAGTAAATTAGACAGTTTGTTGAAATTTAAGAACAGCACAGCAGACTATGAGAAAAATAATGCAAGCATATCCCAGTAGCTCATTGCTGTTTTATATTGCAGTGTAGTGACACTGACCATGGATATTTTCTTTTCAAGATTTTTGTTTTTATGGTTCAGAAAGTGATGACCTCTTAGAAATATTTTCAGCAGCTAATGGGTAGCAGAGAGAACTTTTTTCTCCTTGACTGGAGATTCTATGGTCCTGTGCCAATACTATACAAAGATATTTTCCCCAGGATAGAAATTGGCTGGGCAATCATGTAAGTACAATCATAATGTGTTAGGAGCTTCAACAAATCTTAATATTGATTGCTTTGTTATCACTTGTCTTTAGGACATCCTAGCATATTAATCAAAAGCAGAATATTTGGGAAGAAGGACATACTAGCTGGTGGGGATACAGGAATACATTTTTATAAACAGGAGATCCAGATTCAAATGCTATGACTTAGCGTGGAGGAAACTTTCTTGAAATTATAAATTGTGTCAGTCAATAGTGACAGTCCTCATGTTTCTTGTATCAAGGGTCTGAGTCAGAGACTGGTTGACACAATTTTCTAAGCCATGATTTAGTTAACCAGGGTTTATTACATAACCCTCAATTGTTAGATTCACAGAGCAAATTAAATTAAAAACATATTTAGTTTAAGAACTAAACTTAGCTCCTTGTTTTTCTGCCTTAAGAAATCTCACTGACTTCAAGCTTACATAAATCAATGATGTAAATTAAAAGAAGTTCTTAATACTTCAACCAGATCTGGATGTAATCTAGTGGTTGAAGGAAACTGAATTCCATGTATACCAAGTTCTGGTATACTTTCATCATCTGTAGCTGATTATCAAATTTATGAAACTGGACTTCAGCAACAGCTAAGACTAAAACAAGTATCCAAAAATGTGTGTATCTGTTAATAAATGAGCTGTCCATTCAGAAATTAAACTGAGGAAACAAATGGCACAGCATGAAATAGGACTTCCAATGGCACCATTCCAAATGCTGTCTACCTAATACCCATGGGAGAAAAAAATGAAGAAGTGATCAAGATCAACACAAAAACTTTAAAATATAAGAAAAATAAAATGTGGTTTACTGAAGTTCTGCTTTAGGGTGTATTTAATATTATGGTGCAGATTTGCTTCTGTTATGATGCCGAGTAGGCGCTTTTTGTGAATGTTCAGTTTTGGTTAAATTACATCCTTAACCCAGAACTCCCAAATTCTCTTTTGCAACCTACACATTTTCTGTAATTTAGAATCATGTATGTTAATGTTTTTCAATTTTTATGGATTTTAACTACCAGAACTGGCTGGGAAATGTTGGGAGTTGAAATCCACACTAATGTAGATTGCCAAATTTGGAAAAGAAAACACCTGATGTACATCAATGACATTCAGCTGTTTTGTGAGGTTACTGCAATGTTGGCTCTATAAGCTATTGTTAAATAATGAAACACTGGGAATCTGCAAATGTGTAGTTATACATTATAAACAGAATGCAAAATAGACTAATCTCAGTGGAGAACTCTGATGAATGAAAAAATTTGGCCTCTAGCACTGAAATTTAATATCAGAGGAAGTACTTTATAATTATGAATAATTAAAAGCCCTTGTAGCAATGCAGTTGCAAATCATTGGCTGACAGCTGTACATATTTTCCATTCAGACAGAACTGATTAGGCACACAGACACAGAGAGTATCTGTGCCGATTTGTGTGTAACATGTTTGCAGAGACAGCAACCTGAAACAAGTAATGTATTGCTAAGATTGAAGTAGACAAAAAACAGGAAATCTAAATACAAGTAAGATGTGGAAGTACTGAAGCGGTGTCTGGCTGAAGTGAATAAACTGTAATTTAAGTCCTCAAAGACAAAAAATTCTATGAGAAGATGGTTCCTGTGAACAGGGAGACATATCTTACATTACACTTCATAGATGTTTGTCTTAAAAGGGCTTGAGAAAATACAGTATATAATACTACGATTGTGCATAGCACTCAGAAAAGGACTTTTGCATTGTGTAGGAGCACAAAAGGAACATCTCTTCAACACACACACACACACACACACACACACACACACACACACACACGTGCTGCTCCTACAGGTAGAAAATATATCATCATGGGTAGATGGGATTTAATTAAGATCATCTCACTCTCTTTCTCCAGCTTCTACCCCTGCTCAATATTTTTTATAATAAACAGAATTATAAAAGAAGAAAATTGGGACTGAGTTATATACCTCTATGTTAATGAAAGACTGCAACATTGCAAGCATACTGTCTTATGAGTATTTAAAGATCACATTATAGCTTTACAAAACTAAAAAGTGTTTATTCTCAGAAATTGGATTTGCTACAAGCCTGCATATAAGAATATATAAATAAGACTGAGTGTTAATTTCTTACACTTATGGCATATTTTCTTCTTCACTTGACAAGTTGCATTGTTTCTTCAACTTCTTCCAAAGAGTGCTAAAGCTTATATTCACAAACTCCATTGCCTGGCATAATACAAAATATTAATCAAACAGAACCTCTCTGCCCAAATTCATCATTACTTCACCCTCCTGTATTGCCAAGGCTGCCAAACTGATCTAAAACTCTAAAACCTGAGTTAACTGGCAAGATAATTGAAAAACAAAATCATCCAATGAGAGGGTTGCCAGGTGAAAGGACAGATGGCGGCTGCATGGCAATGGAGCTCGTACAAGGCTACTACAGGCACAGTCCCTCTGGCATGGGCACAGCTGTGGCTGCAGCTGGACCATATCAGTAGAAGACCTCTCATCCAGCATCGCTTCATTGCCACGCAACGTGCTTTGTAAAGTGAATTCTTTCTGTTCACCAAAATAGATCTTATTTAGCTGATAAACTGACATAAATTTTAAAAAAATCATCCCATATGTTGTGACCCAACACTATACTTACACTATGAAAGTATTTTAAATAAAACCAAAAAGTTAAGTTTTTGTCATGTCTTGGTTCATGTGCATTATGTCCTTGAAGAACATAGTGAAGTTATCTCTAGCTATTTGGGGATGGATGAGGATGACTACCTCTATACTGACAAATGTTCTGTGTGTATGTGTGTGTGTGTGCGCGCGTGCCGTTGAGTCAGTGTTGATTCCTAGTGACTGCCTGAACAAATCCCTAGTTTTTTTGACAATATTTTGGTAGTGGTTTGCCACTGCCTGTTTCCCAAGATTAAGAGTGTGACTGGCTCAAGGTCACTCAACTTTGTGCCTAAGGGGAAAGAAGAATTCAGTCTGCTGATTTCTAGCCTGATGCCTTAACCACAATGACAAACTTGAGGATAGTATTTAGTGTGCTCCAGTTGTGAAGTAGATTAGGAAGGGATGGGTTATTAACTGCAAAAGTGAAGTCAAGGGAAATTGCCTTGACTTGGAAATTGCCTTGGAAATTAAACATGCCACCGAGAAACACACCAAGAAAACAGAACACCACAATGACTATTTCTTTAATCTTAACCTAAGAGGAAGAAGATTCAAAATATAGTTCCTGTTTAAACAGCATCATTTTAAAAAAATCCACTGTTCAAGTAATGCTAAGGCTAAAAACAATATGCTTCATGCAAATACTTTAAAGGTCGTGTTTTTAAAACAGGATGTGGCTTTTAAAAAAGAAGAAGCCCACATAGATAATGTTTTGCTCCATATCTGTGCAATTAAATGAATCCTGCAGGAGGACACACATTTTCTCAGGCAGTATAACAAGAGCCTGATGAATATTGTACCTGAAGTCTCACAACAGTTTTTGTAATATTTCCCCATAAAGATCCCTTTTTATAACCAGATTGGGATTCTGTTTCATATAGAATTATGATTATTATCTGATTATCTGATTTTAAAATTTCCAGCCTGACTGGATTAGCTGCTCCGGGAAAACCTGGCACAGAGAATTTTGCAGCATTTCTCCTGTATTTGTAGCAGAAGAGAAAGCTTTCCAAGTGTGGGAACGTCCACTTCTATTCTTCTTAGAACCAAGATATCTTTCTTAAATTGCTAAGAGATTATTTGCCTCTCTGTACCCAGAATGGCTGTCTGGTCCGTCCTTCCTTCCTTCCTTCCTTCCTTCCTTCCTTCCTTCCCTTTCCTTTCCTTTCCTTTCCTTTCTTCCTTCTTTCCTTCCTCCCTCCCTCCCTTCCTCCCTGTCTCTGCCCTCCCTTCCCTCCCAAATGTGCTAAAGGAAGAATGAATGGGACTACCAATAATTGTTTTTTTAATTTTTCTCTGGCTCTAGTGCATGAATGAAAATTATACAGTAGTGGGGAGTGTACACTTGCATTCAAGTAGTCCTTAACTTACAACCATATGTTGATCAACTGTTTAAGTTACCACAGCACTGAAAATGTGACTTACAACCAGTTGTCACGCTTATGACCATTGCAGCATCCCCACGGACACATGACCAGAATTCCCACAAGTAACATCACTGAGGGAAGACAGATTTGCTTAAGAACCACATAGTTCATTTAATAACCAGGAAGATTCACTTAACCAATCTTAAAAAAAAGATTGTAAAATTGGACACAACTCACTTAATAGCTATCTCATTAAACAACTGAGATTGAATGATCATAAATCAAAGACTATCTGTATCATCACTGAGAGGTTAAGTGGTCATTAAGATCTTAGGAAGTAAAACTTGTGACAGTATAGGAATGCCCTTTCTAGATTCCTTTGTTAAGTCTTTTTGTTTTATATTAATATTTATGTTAGGATTGAAAACTGAACTTACATTGGAAACTCATGTACTCTGCTGCTAGTACATGATCACTCCATTAATACATACTCTGTATCTTTAGAAACAAAATTTCCAATTTTTTTACATTTCCATCCTTATCATTTAAAAAAATATAAAACTCTTCCCTGAAAAAGAAAGGTAAATCTGTAACTATGCTTTACTACATCATTTAACCAATATTGTTTAATCCTATAGCTTTCACTTTAGGAATCATTGAAAGTCTGCTTCACACACACTTTAATAGACACATATAGAATAATTAAATCATGTTTATCTTTAAAGTCTGGCCTGTTTGAGGCTCTTTGTCTTTTTCAAGCTTCTTCAATTCTAACAAATTAGACTTTTTCCCCTTAAAAAATAATATAAACAGAAACTCGATGAATTTCTATGAAGATAAAAATATAAATTACAGATGATGAAAACAATGATGAAAAAGCATTTTATTTATTTATCACATATATAGGAGCTACCATCTATAAACACATAAGGTTTAACTTCAACGTGACAGGTTCTTTCATATATTCAGGACATAATTATTACTCATACATCATAAATTGCAAACAGCTTATTACTTAGTTCTTTCATTTTTCTTTTCCCATTCATATTGAAATCACAAACATATTTGGATGTCTTATCTCATAGATATACTGATTTTATCCTATTACTTTTAACTGTATGTCTTACAGAGTCTTCCAATTTATTACCTGCCAGATATGTTAGACTCCATTCCTACAATTCCTAACCAAGATGGCAACAAACTACAGCAGTGGTCTCCAGAAATAGTATTGCTATGATTTCACTAGAGAATTTGCTGTAGTCACTGAGATAAAATAGGAATACTATAATCTATTCTGTTCACAAGCCCAACATCCCAAAGAGAAGTTAAACTAAAAAAAATTACAAGAAAAAAAGTACAAGCATATATATTTATATACATACACAATTCATACTGTGGATTTCTCCGTGATTAATTCGTCTAATTGTCCTCTTTTTTCTCCGTTCACTGTAGTCCTTTTTAAATACTTTTGCCCGGAAACTCATTGTGTTAGTAGAATCTCAAGCAGCAAAGAAATCCATATTAGAAAAACACAATCCTCATTCACTGATGATTATGTCTATGCTGTGAGAAGAGGAAGTATAGGGACCAGTATGCTATCTCTATAAATTGCATTCAAAAAAAGAAAAAGAAGAACCTGAAATTCAGTAATAAATCATTACTTCCTGCCTGAGTAATGTTGTGCTTCTTCAGTGACAAATAAGACTGAAGCCTCAGTCACAATGTTTGCTATTACCTGTTTCATTTCTACCCACCTACCTAAGATTGAAAGAACATTATTATACCTTGTAAACTTTAGCTGTTTTGAATAAGGAACTCCAACCTGGGTAAGTGTAGAACAAAAACCTCCTCTGCTTCAACAAAGAAAATTAAAACAATTTCTTAAAGTGATTGAAAATCTTCCCTGATTAGTCAATGATACTGACTAAGATAACTTTATGAATTTTATGAGACTGCAAAGTTATGAGTTATGTGACACTAACTCTGAACAGTTTTAGTAAATTGTCTCCCTTAATACTGCTTTTTTGCTTTACCAAGTCTCAGTGACCCAATTAACTTACTGAAACATTCTCCTGTTTTCCAATTTAAGACTAACAGTGTCCTGTCTATTTTGGATGTTCAACAATTGACTATTTTTTTTTTTAAAAAAAAATGATAATGTGAAAAACTGATATTGTGAACCTTTAAGACTTATAAACCACTTAGAGTTGGCCAGTTTGAAATTATTTAAAAGTCTTTACAGGTGAGCGACTCACTTACGTGTCACCATTCCAAGGAATACCAAATTGCAATACCCACTAGCCCCAATTATTTCTAATTTTCCATAGGATACTGCATGAAGTCATAAACGGATAGGCTAGCCTTTTTATCTCTTGCCTAGGCAGATAAGGTTGGCTTCAGCATTAGAGACAGTGCTTAGAAGACATTTCTGGGCTTGTAGACCTTGACAGCCAGTCTGACAGTGTGGAAAAGTTTTTCCCCCCAGTATTCTGAATGTGAACTTTTTCCTATCTAGTTTGCAAAATTGCTATATTGAGGACAAAATGGGCACAATGTAAATTGATTTCAGGCTCTGGAACAACTCAGTTCCAAGCATGACATGAAGAGTTTGAATAAAGCTTAGAACATTTATAGAATGCTGAAAATACATGTAGTCCTCAACTTACGACCACAATTAAGCCCAAAATTGATGTTGCTAAGTGAGAAATTTGTCCCATTTTACAACTTTTCTTGCCACATTTGTTAAATGAATTGCTGCAGTTGTTAAATCAATAACACTATTATTAAGTGAATCTGCCTTTCTCATTGATTTTGCTTATCAGAAGGTTTCAAAAAGGGATCACATGACCCCACGACACTGCCATCATAATAAATAAGAGCCAGCTGTCAAGCACCCGGATGTAAATCACATGACCATGGGGATGCTGCAACTGTCATAAGTGTGAAAAATGGCCATAAGTCATTTTTTCCAGTGCCGTTATAACTTTGAATGGTCTAAATGAACTATTGTTAGTCGATGACTACCTGTAGCCCCTTTCGTGTTCAATATGAGAAGTTTCATTTAACCACAGATTCTTTGCTAATAATTTCTTGCTCCATTACTAATAGGTTTTAGGTGTTCATATATAACGAACAAACTTTGTATTTGATACAGATATGTTGAATACACCTACTTAATTAGAAATCTTCATAAACTGCAGTTTCTATCCCCAATAGTTTAGATATTCTTATAGCAATAAAATACAGTACACAGTCTTTTGCTAAACTGAAGAGCATCTGTAAATTTAGTCTGAAGAAATAGAAGTACAACAGGGAAGATAATAATTTCTCCCTACAGACTTCTGAATGTCTCAAATTGAGGTTCAGTAATGATCCGATATGAAATAGAGCAGAGTTTCCACCAAGAATTGGCTTCAATGCAACCAACAACCATTTGGTCAAGTCTAATTATGGCTGGTTTCCTTTTGTACTAGCATTTTCTGTACTGCGCTTTTTTGTCTGACTGTGATCCTCTAACACTGCACCTAGAGGAAGTGTGGGATAGTCTGCTGTCTGCCTTTCTCCACCTTGGCCACCACTGTCAGCTCTGTTTTGTATAATGCAACCTCGTCTGTGGCTGTTGCCTATAGTGCCTAGTGGGAAAAGAAAGTTGCTAAATTATAGAGCAGCTCAGAAGTTGTTCTCTTAGTTGTAAATTGGTGTTTTTTTTGTTTATTAGATTAAGGTAGGGTTTATATTTTGTATACTCAGAGAAAGCAATATTGAAAGGGTAGAGTTCAGAAAAAGAATCAAGCTTTAAAACATTTTATTTTATATGGCTTTTCCTTAGATGGTGGATTCATAATGAAAGAATTAAAAACAATTGAAAGGGCAGATACATTAACCATATTTTAATTCAGAATAAATTTGCTTTTGATTTTTTTCCCTTAACAGCCACAATTGGAAGTAAGCTTTCCTCCATTTTCTTCATTAAAATATTAGTTGGCCAAGTGGTTCCAGAAAGACACCTGAAACACAAAGAAGCAATTACAAAAGCTCTGGAGAATGACAGATTTCAATGATATGCCTTTCCCACAAACAAAATGAGTAGCTGTTAAACAGGGACATTTTGTTTCAGCAGTTTTGCACGTATAGTGCTTACGAGGCCAAAAATGCAAGCAATATACCAAAGAAAGATCAAATTTTATTCTCAACAACTTATTGGTTACTTCTTTAGTGATTGGAAAAGAATTGAGGACAATGAGAGTAAGTCTCATTTCTCAGGTTGCATCTTGGGATGCGCAGAACTCCCAGCAAAATCCTCCACTTTAGAAAAGTGTTTTTCAATCTTGTCAGCTTTAAGATGTGTAGATTTCAACTCTCAGAATTTCTCAAGAGTTGAAGTCCATGCATCTCAAAGTTGCTCAGTTTGGGAAAGCTGCTCTTAAATATTCCCAAAGGTTACCTGTGCGGTTCTGACTCAGAATCTATCAATATGAATCAAAGAGATACAAAGAAGAAAGAATTCAATTAAAATTTACATTTATTTTTCATCCTCCTTTACAACGAATAGTTAATTATTATTATTTTAAAAAGGGGGAGAGCTTTAAAATTGTCTAGGGATCTTCTGACTTGTGAAGAAGATGCCATTCCATAAACTACTACACAAAAATTAATCTGACTCAAAAGAGAATCTATTTAGCCCAGACAATAATAGCTGAACTGTATCCCCACAAAATAGGTCTAGCTTCTAATAACTCTAAATTCTAATTTATTTTTATTATGTTTTTACTGTGTTTTTAACATGTAACATTTTATGCTTTGAAATTGCCAAGAGTCTTTCTGTTGTGGTAATATAGAAATAAAACATGACGTAAAATTAATAAACATATGAATTTCTTTTTTAAAGATATTGAAACATTAGCAAAAGAGGTGGAGCTGACAGGAAATGGAAAAAGACCAGATCTTAAGAGTCTAGTCATGTGGCTCAGACCTTTAGAAATGTTGTCAAAAAACTGAAACCCCAAAGTGAGCTGAGGTCAACAAAGAGTGCTAAAAATAAAAGTTTCTTTTAGACACAGTTTGCTAAAAGAAAATAAAAAAACGACAGATCAGCTTTAAAATGAAGAAGACGAAGTACTAACAAATAATAGGGAAAAGGCAGAACTTCCTGATATTTATATTGACTCAATCTTCTTGAACATAATCTAAGTATTCTACCAGGAAATTGTAAAAAAAAGTGAACAGTGAAATGAAACAGATTAAAAACAAGGTAAAAGAATACCTCTTAGCATTGAATGAGTTTAATGACTATATTAATTGCATCCTATGAATGTGAAGAAACTAACTGATGGTCTAGCTAAATTTCTATGTATTAGCTCTGAGAAATCCTGATGAAATGCTAGATGCCCCATCCCTATCTTCAAAAAAGGAAAAATGGAATATCCAGCCACTATAAACCACATCAATATGTGAGAAGATTCTGGAGCAGATTGTAATATTCAAGAGCACCTTCAAAATAATGCAGCATGAATTTATTGAGCAGAAATCTTGATACATTTTCTGATTGGATAACTTCCTTAATATATTGTGGGAATACTGCAGACATAATATATATTAAATACAGATTTTACAGTTATAAGTAGCAGATGATCCAGCATTGCATAGGGGTTGATAGAATGAGAAGAGTTGCTTTATTGTGAGAAAAAAATATCAGAATGGGCTCAGATCTACCCAAATTTCAAAAGTATAAGCATATGCATAGTTATGGATTTTCTGAATCCCTAGGATTATAGCCAATTTTTTTCTGTCTAACTTTGCTAAAGTCATTGCTCAGAATTAATATTTACTTACATATCTCTACCATCAGGCACTGTTTAGCTGAGAACAACATGAACTCTGTATGTTGAGGTATCATAGGTGATAACTGAAGTCTTTGGTTCATTATAAGGACCAAATAGAAGATGACTAACTTCTTGATAGCGTGGAAAGCTACATCATGCTGATGAGTTCAATGGCATATGACTTCTTCATCAGTAAGTGGTGCAAAGTTCTGCTAAGCTTGCCTTGAATTTTCAAAACTATGCATTAATATCTAAAACCCAAGCAATCTTTTAAAAAATCTACTTTATATTCTGGATTTGGTACATTCTGAATGGTCTTGATCTTGACTTATAATGTGTAAATGCCTGACATATCAGTTCTTTCAGTGCAAAGCAATATGTACCATCCAAGCCTTTATAACTGTAAGGTGCCTTTGGGTCAGTTGCTCTTTCACAGTTCTAGGAAACAGGCAATGGCAAACCACTTCTGAAATCTTGCCAAGAAAACTGCAGAAATTTGTCTGAATAGTTGCCAGAATTAATACTGAGTTGAAGGCAACCTTCCCCCAAAAGGCTTTAGATATATAAATGATTTATCATCAATCTTATGTAATTTTCTTCAAATAATTATTTATATAATATATCAAGGTTCAACATACAACTTGAACCTTTGTGTATCAATTTGATGTACTAAGAGATCAGGCAGTTAGAACTACATGATT